ACACACACACACACACACACACACACACACACACGCACACACACACACACAAAACACACATACACACACACAAAAAAACACACACAAAAACACACACACAAAAACACACACACACACACACACAAAAACACACACAAAAACAAACACAAAAACACACAAACACATACACACGCGCACACACACACACAAAAACCCACACAAAAACACACACAAAAACACGCACGCACGCACGCACGCACGCACGCAGGCACGCACGCACGCACGCACGCACGCACGCACGCACGCACGCACACACACACACACACCCACGCACCCGCACCCACGCACGCACGCACGCACGCACGCACGCACACACGCACACCCGCGCACCCGCGCACCCGCACGCACGCACGCACGCACGCACGCGCACACACCCGCACGCACGCGCGCACGCACACACGCGCACACGCACGCGCACACGCACGTTCACGCGCACGCACACGCAAACGATGCAAGCGCACCCGCACGCGCACGCGCGCGCACACGCCCAAGCGCACGTGCACGCGCGCACACACACGCACGCGCACGCACACGCGCACGCACACGCGCACGCACACGCGCACACACACACACAACACACCACACACACACATAGACAAATTCCCTGTCTTGACATGTCCACCCCTGTTGAAACTGACATACCGGGGATTGCCCTGACAAGTACGGTCCTGTGTAGAGAGCCAAAGCCAAAGAAATTTCTTATTCTAGAGCCTCTCCCCTTCCCGGTTCTTACGGGTCGACTAGGGCCCCGCACTCCGAAAGCGTGATTTTTGTGCTTGTGCTATTTTCCTTCTGCGGGCCTTTGACTGGTGTCCTGGCATCCTTTTCCCAAACAGCGGCATGGGTCGTTTTCTTGGAAGTTTCAGTTTTGGGATCTGTTGACCTCAGCTGCAAAAGCCTTAGCCCCATTTCAGCACCCGCAGCAAGGTTTTGCCATCCAGTTTAACTGGGTCTTTGGAAGGTTTGGGTTGTGTCCTTGTAGGAAATTGGCCCCGCAATCTTTCTGGGTGTCAGCGCCTTGGAACGCATCTTTGACGCGCCAGCGTTCAGCACTGGCGGCCCGCTTGTGGTTGTGGAGGGGGTCGCGTCTAGAGGTAGGGGGCTTTTTGTGATTTGGGACCCTTTGGTGGACATCATTTAGTTCGGGATTCATGTCCAAAAAAAACCACAGTGGAGTGGGACTTGTGGCTTGAACTTGCTTGAACTTGCTGCGCAGACTATTCCTTAGCCGCCAAACTTTGCGACAACTCCCGGTCGGTTTGGAGATTTGCAACTCTCGCGCCTTTGTGGGCCTCCGTCTTTTGACGCTTTTGGCCCCGTGCGCTTCCAGTTCTGGCCATAAAAAGGATCCCGTTTCGATTTGGGAGCTCGCCCTTACCAAAATCACTGGCAGGGCGAAATGGCACCTCTGTGTTTTAATTCGCTTCAAGGCACCACCTTCCTGGCGATCGTGCCGCTGGCATTTTCGTCCAGCCAAGCCTTCCGTGTGTTCTTCAAGATGTTCTTTGGCATCGTAGTGGCTGGAGGCGTGGCGAAAGCTCACGGCGCTGAAACGGGGCAGGATTCCTGCCAAGGGACGGGCAGGACCCACCTAAGTGACCCTAGCACAGAAACCTATCAAGCATGTAGCTTTAGGCTCCCTCCAACATACACAAAGCAACAGTTTCTCCACCCCCTCCAGGTGGGTGTTTGGTTTCCTTTCAGTGTGCCGTTAAAACTATGAATCAATGAAGGGGGGGTCTTCCATTGAGACAGACGCGTTTTGCCAGTACCTCATCTGGTGTTTCGCGTCCGGCGCTTTCTCCGGCTGCCCTCACGAATGGCGCCGAGTCAAACCCTGGAGGCTTGCATGGCTTGGTGTTCTTGCCCGTGTGCCTTGCCGTCATGGGACCAAGTGTGACCCAGGCCGCGCCCGACCCCAGCATCTTGGCCCCAGCGTGTGCGAAACGACGTGAAGCTCTCTTTAAGTGTTTTTTCAGGAAATGGGGCTGTCCAAATTCTGCGATATCCTTTTGCCAGACGGCAGAAACTTCAGTTCTGTCTCATGACAGAATCTTAGATTTGGGACCTCCATTTTGAACATCCTTGACCTTGAAAATAGTTTGGACATCGACCTCATAGCATGTAAAGTCTAACCATTTGCAAAGCGACCAAGATGCCCCTTCCCAAACACAGCAAACACATTCTTAAGACCGGACCTGACCTGTCAGGTTTTCCGGATTTTGGGGGCTGACATGCACATCTCAGGCACCTCGAATCTGGAGGATGGCAAAGAGGGCAACGAGCCCGGCATTCCAACGGCACAGGACGCACCCAAGGACTCGGAGTAGGCACAGAGTTGGTGGTGACATGTGCTGGGCGGCTGGATTGAAGACA